ACGCCGACGGGGCCGCGCGCCCGCGGCCGCCCTCGGGGAAGCCCGGCCGGGAGCACCCGAAGGCTGGCGGGCACGCGGGCGCGGGCACGCGCTCACTCGGGCGCGCGCGCATTCTGCGAGAGCCGCGGCCTGGCGTGACCGCGGAGACCGGCCCGGTGCCTCCTTCTCCCGCCCCGCAGGACAGACGGTTACTCACTCTCTGCCCCCCTCAGAATATACTTTTGTAAACTTGAGTTTTACCCTTAAAAATCGCTTTGTCGTTTGATTTTTTTGTTTTAAAGTTTGACTTAAACATCCCTTTATAGTAATCTAATAGGTCAAAATTTTGCATTAAATGCTTGTGAACAAGGCAGGATATCGTTTTATGGTAACTGTAAGATGTCACAGAGGAAGGGGAATTGCTTTCTAATTAGATGCTTTGCCAAAATAAAAAAGATATGAAGGATCATAATTCTAAATTTGCTATCCACCTTTTATCCCTAGTCAATGAGAGCCACGTGGAGAGTAAAGCAAAGAAAATAAAGCAAATTTACAAAACTCAATTTTTAGACATATGTTTATAAACTGTCTTATTTTTTAGTTTCAAGCTTACTGGATACAGAAATAGCAAACTTAAAAAAGCAACACTTTGTGCTCATAATTATAAAAGAATAAATTAACTTCTCTGAGAGTGAATTGCGGGACTATGGCTTGCCTTTCAGACTACAAAAGCCTCTGTAGCAAAAAGTGCCCAGTCAGACTACACTGAGTGGTGTTCCAGAAGCCCTGAAGGAGCTTCTCTGAATTAAACTGCAATAGCTGTCATTTTCTGTCAAAAAAGAAAGAAAGAAAAAAAAGAAAATCTTTTCTGAGAACCATGATTATGAACACAGGAAGAAAACAAATTTCAACAAAATGCTCTGACACCTTCAGGGTCTGTGTCCACCTACCTGCGAAGTTCTGCAGGAAAAGTGAGGAGGAGGTTGTTTGTGGGGTAAGGGGAGGCCAAGCCGGCTTCTCTCCACTGCAGCCCCAACTGGCCAGCGCAGGGCACCCCCACACTGACACCTTTGTTATTCCACTCATTGTCAGGCTAGAGAAGAAACCCAGCGGATGCCACCAAAGTGACCCTAATCTAACTATCCAAGAAACATTCTCCAGTTGCTTCTACATGGCACAGACCTGCCAACCACTTAAGGATGAAAAGGCACTCACATCCGGGCACTTCACTGAGGTACTGTAGCAATAGCTATTTCTATAATGCTATGCCCCACTCCCCCATCTATCCTACAGGTTGTACAGTGCACAGTTGCTCCTAAAACTCATTTTTAATCCTGGTCTTCCCCCATTACAGGATAAAAGCTACATCAGCTTCAATATGGCCAGCGTCCACCTTTCTGGCCTCGTCATCCATATATCTTGCAGTCATGGAACATCAGTCCTTCACTTCTGTCTGATTGATTATTAATGGGTACATATACGGCTGTAGAACATTGCCAGTCGAGAGCAAAGTCGCTCAGAGATTGGCATATGAGGATGTGTCAATCTTTCAGTGACACTGACATTTCTGGCTGGATATATTAGTGCTGGGAAAGGGAATTGGGTAGGGAGAAAGCTGACTTGTGCACTGGATGATAGTTGGCAGTTACTCTGTTCTCTTCCTATGGCAGGCCAGCAGACAACCCCTGTTATGAGGATCATATATGCGTCCAGACATTACTAAAGGTTCTTTGGGCAGGCAAATGACTGAAACAATCAGGTCCTTCCTAGCGATAGAGGTAGCTTCCCTTGAAACATGTGGACTGCGTGGAGGAAGGGACACAGACCGTGAACAAAATCAAGATTTTCTTAGAAATAGGATAAAGCAGTAGGCAATAATCCTTCTCTTAGTAATATTTGCAGTCTGGTTAGGCAACGCAGAGACAGTCAAAGCCAAAGTTCTGGTGAAATGTTATAAAGACAAATGTAGTATCCTGGAGAGGGTATACTCTAAACTTAAACACTTTTTTCTAAAATCAAACAGGGTTCAAATAAAGTTACCTAAGGGAAGTGATGGTTAAGGTGAATTTGTAAAAAATGAGGAAGAGTTAGGAATCGGAAGAAGATGGGGTGGAGTAGGGGGGGGGATTTGAACCAGAGACAAGGATAGATCATGAACTAAGACACTGGGCTGACAGCTAGAGACATCCAAATAGCACGAAAAATGAAGAATCTGTACTCAGATTCTGTTCCCTGTAGTCTACTCTCGCAAGTATACTAAAGAACAGTTCATTAGATGACTTGGTCACACCTTAAATATAGAATTTATGCATAGAAATGTATCTCAGATATATGTTTCTGTAACTTTGTTCGTTTGCAGTTCATGTCATTGCTTGGGATAACAAGTTCTATGTGCTTAAGTTCCAGGCAAAAGGCTTTATGGGAAAGTGGTTAGGGCCAACTTTATGTGACCTCCATTAAGTTACTTAACCTTTCAGTCTCAAAAGGGGTTGATACTATTGTGCTGACCTGCTGTGTCTGCAAAATTGGGGGCAGTGTTTGGCATACATAGCTAGCATTCTATACAAAGTAACAACAGGTAGTACAGATGTTTCTAGAATAGCATTCTTACAGTGTTTCATGGACCGCAAAGGCCTTTCCTCTGGCCTTGCCTCCTGTCTCTCTCTGGGAAGACTGAATGAATGATGCTCAGCTCCCCCATGAGTTGCACTGTTGCACAGTTCTGCGGCTTTTTCACCTACGGTTCTTGCTGCTGAAATGCTCCTTTTCCCTGTCTTCAAGATTCAGGCCCTTAATTGTCCTAAAAAAATTTAGCTTAGGGTCTAGGAATACAGAACGTAAATAAGTTAAAGCCTATGTTTAGCATATTCAACTCCCTAGGTTCAATCCTTGGCCCTGAAAATTTTTTGGTTTAAGCACCCTTCTTTTAAGGAACTTTTAGAACACTCGATCTGCTTTCTTTTGAAAGTTCTCCCTGTGCAGAATGCTGTGCTTGTCTGTTTACACTGAATCATGACTTGGACTTTATTTTTCTACCTTCACCACTACATCATAGATTTCATGAGGAAACAGACTATAGTAGATATTACCACTTGCCTACCTAAAAGTACATCATCCTTTTTCTTCTCCTTTATGAAATCCTGACATTGTTCTGGTTTTTGTCCCTCCCCATGTATCCCACAAGATCCAGGAAAGACAGTCCTGAGAAATACATCCTAGTTATATTAGCCAATAAGTACATTGAATTGCTTGAAACTGTTAATAAACTAAGCATGATCATGTAACCTAAATTAACTGATCAGACTAGAGGAAAAAATTATGTAGCATACTTGAGCAAAGAAATTTGAGTGCATCCTTAAGGAAACATAAAACTATTGAAAATATTAATGTCAAAGCAGCATGAGCATATACCTTTTCTAAGAAAGATTATTCTGAGAGCAATTGAAAGATACAGCTGAGTAGGGAGAAGGAACAGAATTGAGAAAATGAGATCATTTAGGAGACTTTTTGAGTAATTCAAATGAGTAATTATGAATGTTCCATGCTAAGGTAGATTCATGGGAAAGAAGAGAGGAGGGTCATGTTAATTATGGAATAGGATTACTGGACTCATTATGGTCTTCCTAAAGCACAGGGGATTAGTAGAAGAAACACGTACAATATGGCTCAAGGTTTTGAGCTTTGTAGCTATTTGAATTGCAATGGCTCTTCCTAAAATCCTGGTCCCTGTGCTTGCCTAAGCAGGTGCTTAGTCTGCTGTGCTATCTTGCCAGCCTTCCTTTCTTATGCTTTCTTCCTTTTCCTTGTAAATTTATGAAGTCCTCAGATTTATATGCCTAGTACCTTATATAATAATTGGAGGAAAGGTTATTAAAGAGATAATTAAGGTAAAATGAGGTTGTATGATTTGGGCTTCATCTGGAGTGACTCATGTCCTTTTAAGAAGAAAAGATTAGGACACAGCACACAGATGGCAAACCATGCACAGGCCCAGGAGAGCATCCTCAGAGGAGCCAAATAGGAAGACATCTGGATCTCCCGTTTCAGCGTCCAGACATACAAGGAGTATATATCTGCTCTCTAGGCCACTTACTCTGTGGAATTTTATGGCAGCTCTAGCAAACGAAGACAACCCTCTTACACAAAATATGTAGAAGAGTAAAGATTTATAATACTTGTGTTTGCTATCAGAGTTAGGCCATTAAACAATAGAAGATATTGTATAAAGACAGAACATCAAGCCAAAGAAGTTAAATTCTACCAAAAACAAGTCTTTGTCCAAACCCAGAAAGTCACTTAAATATGCATATGAAAGTTGCAGCCATGGAAGAGGCTCAAATGAAAGTCATGGTCTGTGGTTCTCAGAA